CAAACCAAAAACCTCACCTGGACTCCAAACCCTCCTCTGCTGTTTTATTGACTGGGGAAGAGGATTTGGATCCAGCCCAGCAGAAGGGCTGGCTGCCGTGGTGGGATTGCTGCTCCTTGGACCGTGGTGGGCTGCGTGAGGAGCAGGTGTGGATGGGTCTCAGTTACGGTGCTACGAGGGGCTGCGCTGCCCCCGGGGGAGCTGGAGCCATCCCAGGTGAGGAGTGGGGTTGTTGTGCTCATGCCCTGGATAAAGCGTGGTGTGGGTCCATCCTCTTTGTGAGCCGGGTACCGCAGGGGGGTGGTGGTTGTCGCGGCAGGAACTCACCTGATATTTCAGCTGGGAGCTACCTGGGGGTTGGGGTGACACCCTCGCTGGTGCCAATGGGGAATTTGGAGGAGAAACCCCCAGGTGAGGGGGTGAAGCTGAGCAGCCAACGCTGCCCATTGTCCACAGTGCCCTCTGTGTGCCCCCCACGTGGTGGGACACCTTCCCACCAACCCCCATATAGTGGGACACCTTCCCACCACCCTCCTCACCATGGGACACCTTCCAACCAACCCCCATATGGTGGGACACCTTCCCACCACCCTCCTCACGGTGGGACACCTTCCCACCAACCCCCATATAGTGGGATACCTTCTCACCACCTTCCTCACGGTGGGACACCTTCCTACCAACCCCCATATAATGGGGCACCTTCCCACCACCCTCCTCACGGTGGGACACCTTCTCACCACCCGCTCAGCCCTTTCCCTGTGGGATGGTTCCTGTCGGAGGGAGGGTCCGGGGCGGCTGTGGGGCTGTTCCTGCCCGTCCAGGTGTGCGAGGGAGGAATGCCAACCCCTGAGTCACGGGCACCCCCCGCCTCCCTCCCCGCCTGGGATAAAGCTCGTCCTCACCTGGGATCCCATCTCATTTATCGGTGGCTCCCACCTTTCCTCGCTGTCAGCCACCCCCCCCCACCTCCACCCCCCCGGGAGGGAGAGGCAGCAGCTCCGGGACGGCGAGAGGAGCGAGAACAAAGTTGATATTTGACTGGAGGGAACAGAAATCAGCGGGGAGGTATGTGGGAGCGCGGGCTGCCTGCCCTCCCCGCCGGACTGGAAGTTGACGTTTAACCGGAAAGAGAAAAGGGACAGAAAATAGAGAGGAGGGAGAGGAAAAAGAAAAAAAAAAAAAAAAGAAAAGAAAGAAAGAAAAGGCCAAGTCTGGAAATCAAGTGGCAGCAGCGAAGCAGCGCGTTCCCCCTCTGCCTTGGGAAGAATTTCTTGGCTGGGTGTGTGGGTGCCTGTTATTCGGGCTGTGGCAGAGGATTTGGACACCGAGTCAGACCCGGCACTAATGAGGTTTGTGGAATTAATTCATCTGTGCTCTTTAGCGTCCAGCTTGCTTTAATTTCGCTGCGTTGATTAACTGGTGGTGGTGGGGGGGGGGAAGGGTGAAACAAGGTGCAGGGCTCCTTGCGCCAGCAGGTAGGCAGGGCACGGGGCGAGGGAGCTCAGCTCCTTGGCTGCTTCTTTCCCCTTTTTTCCTTTGGTTTTGGGTGTTGGACGCTGTCTCGTGCCTCTTGGCTGCCTGGGAAGGGCAGTGCTGGTGACCAAGCAGGGCTCTGCAGGGCTGCGTGGGGCCGTTTTCCTCTCTGAAGGTATTTGGGTGGGGGGCCGTGGGGTGGAGGTGGGATAAGGAGCACAGAGCCCTGCGGGGACCATTTGGGGCAGGTTGCAAAGGTTGCCTTCTCCGTCCTTGTTGCTTCCAGGGAGAAGGGTGGTTGTGCCGTGGAGCTGGCACCCCGGGAAGGCTTTCATAGGTGAAACAACCCGAGGTTGGCCGAGCTGCTGGTGGCTCCGGCTCGCTGAGCCCAGGGGGGGTGGTTTTGCAAGCAAGCCCCCTGCAAGGGGGGAGCCAGGGGAAGGGGTTTTATTGACTGGGGAATTTCCCTCCCTAGAGGAAAAGGCCACGGTGGAGTAGGGGTTCAAGATGGGCTTTGGTGACCCACAGGTGTCAGGGGGTTTGCGAGCTGGTGGATCTGAGATGGGTAGGAAATAGATGGGCTGCATGAGGGAACTGGCAGGGGTGGGTTGTGGGGGGGAAAAAGGGATGAGGAGCACCTCTGGAGGGAGAGGGAGAGGAAAGGTGTCTCGTGGGCCAAAGGAGTAGGGAATGTGCCAGGAACAGCACATGGGGAGGCGCAGAGGGGATGGGAGGGTCCTGGGGATGTGCTAGTGTTTGGTGGGGTCCTGACCTTCCTGCCCACCCCTTAGGACTCCCCCCTGCCTGATCCCGGGGGGCAGAGAGAGGAGAGAGCAGCCACTGGTCCTTTGCCAGCACAGGGTGGTGATGGCCACTCTCCAGCCCCGGCAGCTCCATGGGGGTCTCCGGGATGGGTCCCACTGTGTTTTATCCTTCGCTGGAAGACACCAGGAGCTGTGTCTGGGGTCTGGAGCTCGGCCTGGGAGTTGAGGTCCCCCTTCTTGCTGGAAATAGCAAATGGTGCCTCTCGCATGGAGCCTCCCGGCTGCAAGAGCACACCTGGGAAGGAGGGAAAATGGATGGGGAGGAGAAAGAAAATCAAAGACAAATATAATTCCGTGTTTTAAGTGATGCTTTGATTTGTGGGTGAAGCTTTTGATGGTTTGCTGGAGGTTTGGCTTGATAACTTCTAAGTTTTGGAGCAGGGCCCCTGGGATCTCTGTGCTGCTGCGTGTACTGGGGTGAGGGAGTAGCCCAGGGAGGGAGGGAGCTGAGTTGTGGCCATGATCCATGTGCCCACAGCCCTGCCCTGGGAGGGGAACTGAGCCTCCACGAGCTGCCGTGGGTGTCACTGCACTGCCCGGGGGGCTTTCTGCTTTGCCTCCATCACTATTAGCTCTCCCCTGGGACCTCCAGCCCTGTGCTGAGGCTGATCATGGTGACCAGCATAGCCTGCCCATCTGGTTGTCCCTGGCACATGTGGGCAAGTAGGAAAGAAAATCAAAGACAAATATAATTCCGTGTTTTAAGTGATGCTTTGATTTGTGGGTGAAGCTTTTGATGGTTTGCTGGAGGTTTGGCTTGATAACTTCTAAGTTTTGGAGCAGGGCCCCTGGGATCTCTGTGCTGCTGCGTGTACTGGGGTGAGGGAGTAGCCCAGGGAGGGAGGGAGCTGAGTTGTGGCCATGATCCATGTGCCCACAGCCCTGCCCTGGGAGGGGAACTGAGCCTCCACGAGCTGCCGTGGGTGTCACTGCACTGCCCGGGGGGCTTTCTGCTTTGCCTCCATCACTATTAGCTCTCCCCTGGGACCTCCAGCCCTGTGCTGAGGCTGATCATGGTGACCAGCATAGCCTGCCCATCTGGTTGTCCCTGGCACATGTGGGCAAGTAGGTGCTTCTCCATGTGACTCCCATCCACCGGAGTGTCAGTGCCCTGCTCCATCACGTACGGGTGCATGATGTGCCCCTTGGCAGGATGGGGTGGGGGTCTGCAGCCACACGAGGGGCTTCTGCAGATGGAGTGTCAGTGCCCTGCTCCATCACGTATGGGTGCACGATGTGCCCCTTGGCAGGACGGGGTGGGGGTCTGCAGCCACACGAGGGGCTTCTGCAGAGGGAGGAAAGGCTGTGCTGGGAGCTTGAGCATCTCCCTGGCTTTTCCACTCCTGTGTCCCCAGCCTGCTGGGTGTCCCCTGTGTGGCAGCTGGGACCAGGGTCCCACCATGGGCTTCTTGATCATCATTCTGGCTCCTTGGTTCCTCACCCGCCCCAGGGCGATGCCTGGCTTCAGCCTGGTCCTTCCCAGCATGGGGCTGCTGCGGTTGGGGCAGGGTGGGGAGGGGACAGGGTGACAGAGCTCTGACTCTCCAACCCTGTTCCCTGCTCACTGATCCAGTGGTTTCTTTGGAGCATCCCCCGTTTTGGAGGGATGAGCTACCCAGACCAGGCTTCTCCAAGCTCGGTGGGTCCTTGGGTCTTTCTGGAGCAGGCTTGCTGGCTTGTGCCAAGGTGCAGGCAAAGGCTGGGGAAGAGGGAGGAGACCAGGAGGAAATGCCAGAGTGGTGGTTTGGGGTAGGGTGGGATGTTTGTGTGCAGCCAGGAGCTGCTCCGCTCCTTGGTTCTGCACAACTGAACAGCTTTTGTTGTCGTCGTCGTCATAATGAAAATCCAACCGAACCCCTGCAGCTTTTCTGAAGTGAAAGTGGCATTCTCCCTCCCAGAGGACACTTTTGCACAACTATTATGGGCTGCATTCCTGTGGCCAGCAGCGGCAATGCTCTGGGCCACCAGTGCCCTGCACACTGACTACTGCACAGCAGAATTCTTGGAGGTGGGTGGCTCACGGGGCAAGATGACTTTAGTATCAGGCTGAGTTTTATGGCCTTTTATCTCAGCGCTTGAAAAGACATGATGGCGGTTTATGTGTCCAAGGCCCAGGGTGTGTCGGTCCATCTGTTTGTTCGCTCTTTCTTGACTTGAGATTAAAGAAAGATTAATTATCTCCGTGCTCTGAGGCTACCGCGTAAGATGGGCGTGAGAGCTGAGCAATCCAGTCCCTGGTATTCGATCTTTTCCTTCTGGCCTTTGCCATGATGGGAGATGGGATTTGCCGAGTGCTCAGGGGAATTCTTTCCTTGTTTTGTCCCTTAACGGGCTCAAAGGGCTTCCCCATCCTTTCATCTCATCTCTAATTGGCATCTCCCCATGTCTCTGTAGCGCCGGTCGCTGTGGTTGGCGCGGCTCGCTGAGGCGGAGCGAGGGAAAAAGGGATTTTCCTGACTTCAAAACCCACCCATCTCAGTGGTGAGGGACACAGCATTTGCAAACAAGTGGCATGAGGACTTTTGCTGGAGGAGATCACGGACATGTCCAGGGACAAGAAAAATTGCTGGCCTCAGAGCCAGCACTGGGGCTTGGCTGGGGGACCCCCTAAGACAAAGCTGTGAAGACCCTGAGCTAGGGATGGTCAGTGTTGCAGAGAGCTGTGGTCAGGGGCTACAGGAGCAAAACACATGGATTTCCTTGGTCAACCAGTACCTTTTACCCATAAAAAAAGCAGCATATTGGCTACCAGGTCTTTATGAACTGCAAAGCTTCCCTGGGTGTCCCCCGCAGAGATGCTGCCCCTGGGTTCCCATATTTCTCATGTGTCAGCAATGGAGGATTAATCACTGTGCGATAAATCTCTCTGAGTCACAGCAGACAAGATAACTGAGATATGAACATCCTGAGGTGTGTTACCTGTATATCCAGCGAGCGTCACAGAGTGCGAACACCAAGGGAGATGTCCCCTGGTGTTGGTGCTCTGTTGTTTGGAGCCCTGAGCTGCAATAATTTCTGTGAGTGCTCAGCTTCGTGTGTTCAACGTATTTCCATTGTTCCATTCCAATGCAGGATACAGTGTGATCCAGCACTATTAATACTAGAGTGGGTTTTTCCAGGGATTTCCCTGGGCCCCAGCTCAGGCCATTAGTAGCTAAGTCACCAATGGGCAGGTGTGTGTGCTTGATGTCCCTCTGGGTGCTCAGACATCTTCACTGCACGCAACAACTCCTTTTCCTTCCCAGTTTCAAGTGGTTTTCACATTCTCTTAGTTTAGAGTCAGGACTTGGACAGCAAGAAGCTATAAGACAATTCATTTGCATCTTGTATTTCACACTTCCATCTTTCGGAAAAGAAATGCTTTGAAGATGTCTACACCACATTTTTTGCCTCAACTGTCCTCACTTGCCCTGCTGGGGTGCTGGGGTCAGGGCTCACCCCCCAGCACAGCAGCCACAGCTCGAGTTCCAGCTTTGTCTCTTCTGTTTACCATGTCCAAATGCTGACTTCTGGGTGGCACTTGCAGTTTTCGAATGAGCAGCTAATAAATCACGTGTGGGTGCAGGGACAATGGTTCACTCTGTTTAGGATTTGGCCTCTGGATGCACATGAGGGGTCCTGCTGCCCTGGACAGGACAGAGGGGAGCTGCTGGGCTCTCAAGACCACGGATTCATTCAACAGCTTCAAACCTCAAAGCCTGGCATTTCCCAAGGCCTCACCCTCTATTTATTGTTGGTTCAACCATCCTGGAAACTCTTAGTGCAATAGGAAATAGCTGAAGGGAGGGGTCTGTTTTGGTTTTGGGGAGAGATGTAGACAGTTGCTTTGTTTTCCTCTCTTCTTTTTCCCTTAACTTGCCAGGAAAAGCAAGGTCTTGACCTAGTTGGTGTTCTCACGTGTGGATGGTGCTGGGCTCTGGCCAGGAGCAGCCCAGGCTTTGGCTGCCTGCACCAACCCCACTGCCCCGGGCACCCTGGCTCCAGGCACAGGCGTGCTATGGCGTGGCAACTGCCCTGCCCCGGCATTTGCCAGGGACTTTGAGCCTTCGGCACATGCCCAAGCAGAGGACAAGCGGCTCTTGCTTTTGCTTTTGTGCCCTACCCTGCTGAGATCAAAGATTGCTTCCAGGCATTGGCTTCCCCTGGGCGGGCAGGGCTGTCCCATTTCAGTGGGGCTGGACGGGCTCTGCTGGAGCTGTCCTGATCGTCTCCGGGACCATATCTGTCTCTCAGCTCTCCACAACGTAGCGATCCATGTGTTTCAGGAGGAAGAGGATGGACGTCCTGCCACGGGTGTGCGCCAGGCTGCTCCTCCTGTCCCTGCTCTGTGCCACCAGCCTCTGCCAAAGGAGCAAAAGTGAGTGCAGCGCGGTAGGTCTGTCTGTGGTCTTCCCTTGGTGCTGCCCCGTAGGGACTGTGTGCACCTCTCCTTGGCTCCAGAAATGCCAGTCCACATGTGGATAAGATCTGTTGTGTACTTTTCCTCTATTTTCTGTCACCCTGGTATTTGAGACCCTTCTCTTGCTACCCTACTGCTCTTTTGTAGCCACCTTCTACTAATCACCCAGGCAAAACCTCCACCAACTCCCCCAGGAGTGGGATCAGCTTTTCTCATGCCCTCCTATAGCTCAATTTTTTTTATCCATTCCTGATGCCCCGATCTTTCCTGGTAGATAACCGCTGCGTGCTGTCCCGGGCAAAGAGCTGCACCGAGTGCATCCGAGTAGACAAGGACTGCTCCTTCTGCACCGATGAGGTGAGAACCTTGCAGGGGAGACCAGTGCTCTACTTCCCACCCTGATGATGGAGGGATCATAAAATGGTTAGAGTTGGAAGGGACCTTATAGATCATCTAGTTCCAACCCCCTGCCCTGGGCAGGGACACCTCCCACCAGACCAGGTTGCTCAAAGCCCCATCCAACCTGGCCTTGAACACCTCCAGTGATGGGGCATCCACAGCTTCTCTGGGCAACCTGGGACAGTCTCTCACCACCCTCAGAGTAAAGAATTTCTTCCTAATATCTCATCTAAATCTACTCTCTTTCACCCCTGGTGAAAGCTGAGAGAGGTGCTCAAGAGCAGGGTCAGCTTCTGGCTCCAGCTTCTCCCTGCAAAGAGCTGGTCTGGATGGGAAGCGCCAAAACGTACGTTTCCTTTGATGTGGACAAATGGGAAGGAAGGGGAGTCCGGGGCAAATTTGCAGGAATGCAGGGGTTTATCAGAAAATACCAGTGTGCCAGATCTGAAACAGCATGTGCAAGGGATGGAGGGAAAGTCTTATCCCAGACAAGCCAGTAATTCACTGGGGG